GATCACAATGTGAGAACATTCTTCTTCTTATTATAAAACCATTAACTCTTGGGGCTGAGTTAACCGGCTCCCATGTGATTGCATCATACATTATGAAATACTGCATGTGATGACCTTCACAGTCACTGTCTCTATCTGTAGCCCTGAACACAGAATCATATTTTAATCTAGTAAACTCTTTATCTGAGAGGCCCATAATGACATACAATGTGGCCCAAGGGTCTGAAAGCATTTTCTCATTGTACTTACACATGAATCAAGTGGACCGAAGGGGATGGGGACCTAAATGGCACACAACACAATTTAATCTGGCTCATAATAAAACCCATTAATACAACAAATCTCAGATTCACTAAAAGATTTAAAGGGAGAGAAAATGTAGACCACCATGTCCTTCAGGGTGGTCCCTTCCACCTTTTTGCCTGTCAGATCACTGTCAGAGTGTAGCTGTTCATTGACAAGAATCACTACCATCTTACATCAGACACCTCACTGCAGAGAAGCAGTTCCAGCTATCGCTCTGAACAGGTTAGTGTGATATAAAGTAAGTTACGTTTATTGATACAGCACCCCTCACAGGTCGGCATCTGTCCCACATCCTTTAGCCTATTTAGCTCTCGTCAACTAGTAAAAAATGCTACGACATTCACCCTGGATGAAGTCCACACACGGAGAGCTAGTTGTCTCTTATGGCTAGCAGCTATCTCCGCTCTGGTTGTTGGTGTGAGACGTATGCTGTAAAACAGTTCGTGAAGTTCCAGCATGGTACACCAGAGTTACACAGTGCAAATATCCAAATAACAAAGTCAAAATCACAACAATAAACAAATGCAGACAGAAAACACAAGAACCAACCACAGAATATATCAGTTCAATAATCAGTGTTCCCTATGGAGGAGGTTATTAAAATTCAAACAGCCATTGATATAAACAGGCCGCCCAGCCCTGGTGTAGGACCTCACATTTCAGCCACATGTATAATAGTATTACTGTCGTTTCAAAAAATGCTGTTATATAAAGATATATGCACTCCATCTAAAGACATTAAAAATGAGTGCAGTCCCAATTCAATAACTGTAATATTATTCATGAGATAATGATATACATTGATGCAGAACTGCATCAATACAAACACACAGCATTCAAACTGTCATCTCGAGCTGCTCTCAGATAAAGTTCAAAAGTTCAGTCACTGCTCACTAACTGTAGAACAACACAGGGCCGCAGACAGTTCCACCAGCAGCCCTCTCTGTATCCCACTCTGTCCAATTATAACTCCCTGTACCACTCATTTACTGCCGCTCCACTGCCTTTAACCAGCCCAGGCTGACACAGAATGTCTTACTACCCTCACTGCACTTTTCAGCAGGTGGCCGCAGAGGCTCGGAGCTGACTCACAACATGTCACCTGAGCTTAAAAGTTTAAAAAAAATGAAAGATTTCATTCAGGGATGAAAAACAGTTGAGGCACATGTTTCCTGTAGTTCTAGGTGAACATGCATTTCTGTTTTCTCCACTGCTGACTGCTTGTCTCCCTCTTATGTGACCTGGATAAGGCTGCACACCAGTGGCTGGTGAATAGCGAGGAGAGGCTGCTTTAGGGCGCTGTCGCCTGCACTTAGCCTCACCAGCAGTGATACGTTTGTACACTGCAACACAGGAGTAATTACACTGTCCTCTCATTTACACTCTGTGACTGCAGCGAGGTCCTGTTTCTGCACAGATACATGAACATGTTCCTCATGTGGATTACAGCAACAGAAATGAAAGCTACCTAAGACTTGGTTAACAGTTGTTTCTTTAAAAATAACAATGTCGAAACACTACCGTCCCAAATGTCTACTTTTGTTTTTGCCCAAGATCTTTATTTTATTGAACCAGCTGTCATCTTTCTCTAGTATGAATCGAAACTTATTTTCAATCACAATTGTTTCTTCATCTCAGTTTTTGTCAAGTATATTCATGTCTGTTCCTTCCATCATGACACGGTGTCTACTTTACCTTTAAAAAGTCCTTAAAAAATAATAATTTGGATCTGCACCAAATTGCACACACTTGCAAGTGCCAGATCTTTTTTCATCCCACCCAATTATTGTCTTGAGTCATCAACAAAAAAGTTGAAAAACAGTTATTAGAAAGTTAAAGAAATTCCTCGGTCCACACCGTGATCCGCATCGAACGTTTTTGGGTCCATACCACATCCTTTCATCGAGTTTTATGGAAATCCATCCAATAGTCTTTTGCAACAAACAAACAAAGGCTGATGAAAACATGACCTCTTTTAATAGTAAAGAATGCAGCTCAGTGTGCTTTACATTAAACAGAACAACTTAAGCTTAGACCGTAAAATATATATCATTTTATTATACAAATATTTTAAAGAGGTAGATGCCATTGTTTAAAATGTCGTGTGGACTAGGATCCACAGTGTTGACAGCGGATCAAACATATTCAGACTTTGGGGCTGTTATCAGGCCTCTTTTCTACACTGCTTTGCAAACACATTACAATTAATCTTTTCTTTGATGTGATTTCTTGTCAACCAACCAGGCTGAT